CTTCCCAGTAAGGCTGTCTCTATTTTTCTCATTTCTCGCCTTTCTCTGTATCACTTGTCCGTCTGTCTGTCGCCCTCCCTCCTCTCCCGCTCTCTTCTGCTATTAATTTCCTTGATTGGCTCCCCGGCTCCAGTGCTGCTGATGAGCCCTATTCATTCCCGGGCCTGACACTCTCGACCTGCCCTGGCTGATTGCTGGGGGCTGGCCCCGGAGTGCTGACGAGCCCCATGGGTCAGCGGCGCTAATTACCCGCTAATTGCAGATGGCTCTGCTCACCTCCCGCTCTTAGACACAGAAACGGCGGCGCCTTTGTACCCAACCCCTTCTTCTGATTCTCAGGCGAAGAGTAGGCAATCTAGAGGCAAAAGTAATAGGCACTTTGACTTGGTGGGTGCCCCAGGTCAACCGGCAAGAGACTGAAGCCAGGCAAGTCGCCAGGAGGGGGTGACCAGAACTTCTGGACACCGAGCGAGACTGGCCGCTAGGAAACTGGTCATTTGGTCACTAGGAAACTGCTCGGCAGATGGGTCCAGGGAGAGCCCAGCTCGTTAAGTGTAACAATAGCGAAGTCAAGAGTCTGGGGAGGAAGATGCCGGGGAAGGGGCAGGGATTCCCCTCGGCAGAGCCCAGACCTCAGAGTCAGGGCTGGCGGACCAAGACAGGGCAGGAGGGAGCTCTGGGGCCCGGTCACATTTGTTCCAGTCGGGGGAGTGTTGTGGTGGCCTAGTGACAGTGCTGACGTCAGTCTGGGGCTTAAATCAGCTCCCTGAAAGACACTGCCACTAGGGTGGGGACGGGGAAGAGGTTCTGGGGTGGGTGGGGAAGGTGGTATACCTTGACGGACATTCATCAGAGAGGTGAGAGGAAAGCGCCCTTCCCACGCAGTCCCGTGGCGGACTGTGCCGCCGTAGCCTCAGCGGGCTCCTAAGAGAGTCTGGTGGGACGGTGTCACCATGAAGAAAGGAGAGGTGCCTTAGCTTAGGCCAGGGAACCCCAACATACAAAAGGGTTAGGGTGCATCCTTGTCGAAAGATACTCTCCAGAACAACCCCTGTAAAGTGAAGGCTGGAAGACCAGACTTCACAAGTACACTGAACTTAGAAAGTGAGAGGTCGAGTCCTGGGTCTGCTGGCTGTTCAGTGCTATGCACAAAATAGAAGTTTATTGACTTCGCTGTTACTGAGGTGGCTCTGGGCCACAATCACTAAAATTAAAGCTGTTTGAGCAGTTAGAGCACCAATCAGACAAAGCATGAAATAAGAGCCATTTTTGAAAAATAATTGCAGGGGCCGGCAGGTGGCGTGGTGGTTAAGGGTGCTGAACTCCCATATGGTCGACTGTGGTCCAAGTCCCGGACGTGGAGGCTTGCTTTCTCACTTTCTCTCTCTCTTTTTTGCTCTGTCCCTTTCTGGTCAAATTAAAATAAATAAATAAATAAATGAAGTTAAAGAAAATAATTGTTTTAAAAGATTAAAAACAATTTTTGAAATAATTGCATTTGTTTTTTTGCAGTTAATGAAATCATGCAGTACAAAGGTCCAAAAGTTAAGAAGGATGTACAGAGATATGGAAACACCTGCCTCCCATCAGTCCCCCAGTAAGTCTGTTTTAATACGCCTGCCACTCTCTGGTGGGACAGACTGGGTCAAGTCTTGTCAAGGACTCAAGGTTGCAGCCTCTGATTTTTTGTTGTTTGTTTGTTTGTTTTGGGGAGAGGTTTTCGCCACAGGGCGCGTGCGCTCACCAGACAGACAGAGAGAGACACAGGGACAGAAAGCGAGAAATCACCCCCCAGAGGGGATGGTCACGCCGCAATCCGCTCTCCTCCATTCTCCTCTCGGGATCTTGGGCGCGCACGCACACGCGCCCGGCATGAGTTTCAAGCCACCAGGTCCAGGACGCGAACCGCAGTCGACTACGTGGGAGTCCAGCGACACAGCCATTATGCCAACTGCTGGTTCCCAGCAGCCTCTGATCTTGAAGATGTGTGTTACCTAGCTCAAGCCAAGAGCTTACTGCTCCAAACTGCACTCATTGGAGTGGGACAGAGGACAGGCTTAGAGCTCGGTGCCAACTGATCCCCGTGGGCCATCATCTCTGACCTGAGACAAGAGAGACCTCAGGGACTTTATATTGACCTGATGCGGCTTGTGTTAGTCAGATACGGTATTTAAAATCCATTTATACCCTCAGCCTGTCCCCTCCCATGCTGGGTCATTAAGTGCAATGTCTGGAGACATCCACAGTGGCAGTGGCCGGGCCCCTGTGCCCTTCCTTGCTCTTTCATGGAGCATGGCTCTGAGGCCACACGGCAAACAGGAAAAAGTACTGGTTGGGGTGAAAAGACCTGAAGTCAAGTTTCTGTTTTGATTCCTCACTGGGCCATGTGACCTCGGCCCCTCCTCCATATAACGTCTCCCTTTGTGAGAGAGGGCCGTTATTATCATATATATATTGTCTAGTCCAAAAGCCAGTGCAAGGATGTCCTGAATGGGTGGAAACATCTTCCAAAATCAGTTCTTCTCACACCAAATAGGCTAAGGGCCAGGTGGCCAAGAAAGAATAGGACTCATCTTCCCCAGATCAGCCCAACTCCCACAACTGCCTCTCACTCTCCCATCAGTACCAAGGACAGATGCTGTCGCTATGGAACCCGAGCAGAGCTGGCTCCTGTCTTCACCCCAGAGAACGGTTTCTCCTCCCGAGGGCCGGAACAGGCCCACTGCGGGCAAGGACCGCGTCGCACTGCCCAAGACGGATCCTCAAGGAGGCCCTTTACCTGTCCACGTGCTCTCGCTACTCCCCACGCGCTCGGGAAATGCTCCTACAGAGTTGTCTCATTTTTAATCTGCCGTCTCTGCTCGTGCCTGGGTCGGACCTCCCCCTCAGTACTGTCCCCCAGCCCTTCGGAAGCTCAGAACGCAGGTTCTAAAGTCGAAGCCCACCGAGCGCCCCGCCGGCCTATCATTGGCCGGAGAAAGTCCTCTCGCCGTGGGTGGTGTCGGGCCCTGCCCGCCGGCACCCTCTGGTGGCAGCAGCGCGCAGCTGCAGTCGCGGCGAGGGCCGTGCGGCGTGCTGCAGCGCCCCCTGGCGTGAGTCCGCGAGACGCGCCCAGGACAAGACGACTGAACAGGTGAGCGGTCCGAGGGCTGGGGCGCGGGCGCTCCGGGGCGCTGAACTGCGCACGCGCCGGGGCCGGGGGCTCGGCCTTGGGCGCCTTGGGCCAGTATGCACGCGTGTGGGCGTCTGCGTGTTTGCTGCCCGCGCTGCTTGGGCCCTGTGCTTCCGTGGCGTGGAGTGTGCGCCGTGCGTGAGCCCACGCGCTCCCACGCGGGCAGGTTGGTGGCGGGGAGGTCCGCGCCTCCAGTGCAGGGCGGAGTCCTCACGGAGGCGTGAAATTGGTTTGGAGCAAACACATTACGGAAAGCAATTACCGGGGAGAGGTTCTGGGCCCGCGGGACCAACAGCGGAGGCTGGGGAGGAAGCTCCCCGGCTTGCAAGACCTTCCGAGCTCCTGAACAGGCATCCCCGGGCCGGCTGCTCCCC